CAGTATGTAGGCTCAGATTCATACGAAGTAGCCAAAATTAAAAACGTTTTCAGTCAGTGACAAAATTAGAGGTGTTTGTTTCTCGAGTCTGAATGTTCACTACTTTGAGGTGAGGAAATAATCCCTAGGTTTAATCTTCGGAACTCTAACAAGCATTCAAAGCAGGTTTAACTTTCACAAAATTAACAACCAAGTGGAGCTAATTGTCATAATAAACGAAATTTCGTTACGAGGTTTAGCCTTCAGATCATCAGCATCTTATCAAAAAAGATTATTATCCGCTGACAAAGCCAGCATTAAATGCGACTGAAAATGTATAAAGATGGTGAAATCTTCTCCAGTAAAAATGTCCGTTACCAAGCCTCTTGCAATCTCCCTTTTAACCACTGCAATTTCCCTAATTAGAAAAAGAAATTTTTAGTTTGGACCATTTTTATAGGTAACAAAAACATGCCTTCACACGTGTGATGGATAGGATGAAGATGTATAGCAACCCACAACTCCTAAAGTCATGTAGAAATTTTTGATATGCATATGATGTCACTCATTTGAAAAGAGGCCACAGACGCTCCGAAGCATCACACCTACAACATCTTTCTCTAGCATCTACGCCTTCCTGAACTTTTTGAAGAAGTTTTGGAATTCCAGGCTGACATTTTCAGCATGCACTTGTGGAAGCCATCTGACATTCGAAGACATTCTCAGTTGTCTATGGGGACTTCCCACTATGTCACTGATGGTATCTCCTAGAGTTAGTACGGAGCCTTCAATTGCTGTTTATTCTCCAAACGATATTTTATGTACTGGCTGATGCGACTATGTAGCCCGTTTGTCATTCAGGAAAAAGAATAGAAAATTTAACATACTACTGCTTTATGGGCTGGCAGAAGTGGGTCTTCAAAACCTGATTCTCGGTCCAGGCATAGGCTTTCAATCCTGCGTAAAATTAACTTACCTTATGCGGAAACGAATACATAGGCGGAGAGAGCAAGGTACAAAATCAGCTTTCCAGTGAGTTAATTACGCAGCCGAAATTTCCGGTTGCAAACAATCCATCACGAATGTAACTGCAGCAGAATCACTCTCCATGAATACTAACATGAATCTCAAAAAATCTATTTTATACTGTTTCTTAGTCCAGATGCGCGAATTCGCTGATAAGAAAAAGTTTAAAATGAGGAATATCTAGATTTTTACTAGTACACATGAACTTCCCTTTATTTAGGTTGCATACAGAATCAGTTCTGCAACATCTATTAATACTGTTCCTTTGCGTTCTGAGTGGAACATAGGGCTGCAGCAACACAACACTTTGTTTCGTTTTCTGCCATCCTCTTCAGCTGGGTCCACGGTTGCCCAGACTGCCTCATCTCCTCCTAGCCACACGATTTCCTCAATGTCATCCTCTCAGATACGATTCACTCGTAGCTTTCCATTCGGATTCCTCTCAAGGGATGGTTTGCCGAACAAGGTCATTCGACAGACTGCTCAGGGTACACCTGATCCATCGCCATTTTCTTCTGCATATCTGTTGGGCAATCGGTTCTTCGTTGGCTTGTTGACAAAGTTTTTTGTCACTAATTCTTTCTGGTCAGCAACTTGATTTCAGTGTGGAGCGAGCAAAAATGGCAGCTGTTGATGAAGGTCTGCAACCTGTTGGAAATTCTTTTCCGTGACACATAGCGTATAGAAGGACCGGCTCCACATTTCTGTTGAAAATCCGAACCTTCTTGATCTAAAATGGAGAAGTTTTCTAAACTGGTTTCAGGTTGATGACGGCGTATCTTGCCTTTTTGATATAGGCTGCGTTTGACATCTTCATCTATTCTACCCGCGGTTAAAGCTGTGCTTCCTAGCCGGGTAAGGGAAATGAGTAACTCCTGTCGAATCTCTCCTATTTAGGGTGATTGGTGTCGGTTGGTTATCTCCATCATCTCCGTCTTCCGTACGTTTACATGCAGTCCTGTCTTCATCGCCTCTTCGCCAGCAAGCCTTCGAGTTTGTGTGACATATATCGTCCACACACGAAACCCAGATCTCCTGGAATCTTCTTATCGGTGGTGCAGCGTATTGCTGACTCCTCGCATCCAACGGTCTGACGGACGATTCAGTCCGCCCCAATTAGGAATGTCGTCAGTGATAATGGGCAGTCATCCTTGTCTTACTCCCATATGCACTTCGAATGCCTCGCCAAGTTCCACGTTGTGGATCACCTGACATTTGGCACTGTCGTATAGTCAGTTACCGAAAGAGATCGACAAAGATTTGGGCGCTGAATGTTTAGTGTTGAAGTGGCTTCCATATTAATTCTCGGGCAACGCTGTCGAAGTCGGTGAAATTGAGGTAGATGTTTGACTGCCATTCTATGGTTCGTTTTCTGCTGACGATGCGTAGAGTTGCGATTTGATCCGCGCATGATTTGCCTTTCGTGAATCCAGCTTGTTCCTGTGGCGTGGAATTCTGTATCCAGTTCATCCTTTGTTCTCTCCAGAATGACGCGACTTAATTCCAATTTGGAATTATACTCTTCCACGTTGCACAAGTTCTATTCTTGTACAGTGATTAGACTTACTATTTTACTTGACGTAAACAGGAGAATGATTCCACTCCAATTCTTGAACAGGCCTAAGTCGCCCTTCTTTGGCAACTTGACGATGTAGTCTTTCTTCCAATCGGTAGGTACCTCTCCTTCTTTCTAAACCTTTTGCAGTAATGGCGTGAGCACATCTGCTGCAGCCTCGTGTTAGTTTTCCCTACTTCGTGGTAGGGGAAGTCCATCTGGGTCTGCTGCCTTTCTTGACTTCAGAAGCTGGTTTGCATTCAGTATTTCAACTTTCGTTGGAGGACTGGTGTCCACTAGCACTTCCGTGCGTGTCGTTGGTGGTATTTCTGGACGAGTTGCAGGTGGTGGTCTTTTCAAGGGTTCCTTACAGTCTGCAACATCTGGATTCTCCCAATATAGCTGGTGGCGCATCCCCTTACCAATGAAGTACTGCTGTCTTCACTTGAGTAAAACTATCCTATCTTTTCGTTCCATCCCAGGGACCCCCGAAACTCATGCCGGCTTTACATCCCTAAAACGCCACAATGGAAAGCCGAAATACCTTGAGTGACCTCAAATCGAATGCTTCTTACATCAACTGAAGATGATATTTTGTGGAATTTTAGTTCACGTGCTCAACAAGTATGTCCATTAGTGGCAACCCCAAGATTCAGACTTCGGGTGCAGATAATTGAATTCTTAGATTTTCGCTACAAACAGACATGAGTTAGAGATATCCTTGAAAATCGCGCAGCACTGAACAACTGTTTACTAACACTTTGAAACTCTTTGGCAGTGCAAACCCACTAATTTACTGGAGATTGAACCATGGACCTTCAAGTAACGAGAGCGAAATAGAAATTATTGAAGCGTTCAGAAGAATAATTGGATCAGCTGCAAGTACACTGTTACTCGAAACGTGGATTTCTCGAGATTCACTAACCAGCATTTATTAACTTACTGCTGGTGGTTTAATACTTCAAATAAGGCCTAGAAAGCTTTACAAATGCTGCGATTCAGTCTGCTGTTTGAACATAACCTCTTCCGAAACGTGCGTTTACTATGATTCAGTAATAACAACCTCGAAACAAACACCATGAAATCAGCGTTTGAACAGTTTCTACTATGTTACTCGCTACATATTCTCGAGGATCACAAAAGTGTATTAAAGGTCATAAAATGAACAGCCGTGGATTAACTACTATTTATGTGGCACATACGAACATGTCGCAAGAGTAATTTTATATCGTATGTTAAGGACCTAGATACACGCGTCCACTAATAAATCATTCTCAGAAACCTTTTTACATCTAGGTAAAATTCCGAGTGAAGTAATTCATCTGCAGCCATTATACTCCGTTCATCCCCTAATCACAGCTACATAATCAGTCTGGCATCAATCTGAAGTACGCTCACAAAACTCTAAGAAATTTGTTGGAATTTCGTCGTTAATACTATCACATTTGCTGATCGCAACTGCTAGTCTTAAGGCCAAATGTTCAGACTCCTGTTAGAGATGAAATCAATACCGCTTGCGCTAAATATTTATCAAAATTCCAGCGTCGGATATATTACTGATTTTCTGCTTTCGAGTATATGTTACCGTCTGCTTTCTCATGATTCGTGCAAATCCAACTTTACCATCATTTTGTTGTACCGTAAAGCGCACTAGATTTACCATTTGTTTAATCGTCTTTTTCACAACTAAGATTTATTTTGTCATTCACAGTCAGCATACACCGTTTTGGCATTTTCAGTAATTCAAAATTAGTATGCGGTGCAGGATTCATCCACATTGTGAACACATTCGTTGAAACATTTGAATAACGAAGAGAGTGTCCTTACAAACATTAACGTGACTGTGCACTGAAATAAATATCGTTTTGCTTATCATTCCACTTTAATAATTCCAGCCGTTACCTTCTGTTTGTTATATAGTCGTGTTTTAAATCAGTGTGCCAATACGTTTCAAGAAATAAATACACAAATGAATTCAAACCAGACTTATAAGTAATATCATCAAGATTAAAACAGATTCCGGAAATTAGGTTGATGTGATGGTTTTGTCTAATGTATTGGATGAAGACAGTCAGGCTTGCTCGAAAACGCCAAAACAAGTATTAGTCTCACTATTAAAGGACTGCGTGTAATGACTCTAAAAGACAGTTTCAGAACTTCCATAGTAACTAGGAGTATAGATGCTGATTCATGCTATGAATCAGTACTTATACTTGGCAATTCAGTCGAAAATCCTGATATATGAACCTAGCTATGTAATTCTTACTATAATTCGCTTGCCAAAAAACGCCAAATCTTCATCCCTCTAATGAAGTTTAGCAGAATGGAAACAGTCGGATTTCACTGTTGCCTTTCTTTAAGTCTCCCTCTTTATTTTTGAGGGTGACCCGAAAAAATGTGCTGGAAAACATTTTAAATGTACTATTTTGTTTTAGTGTAACAAGTGTTTAGGTTGCTCCTATGAGATTATTTGTTCCTCTTTTAAAATCACATGAATATCTTATGTTTTTGCTGCAGATCATATCGTTCTAAGCTCGCCTCCGATTCTCAGTCAAAATACGCTAACGGACACCTGGATGTATCTCCATGGTACTGTTTGAAATGATTTCCAGAAACTAAATTTTTTTATACCATAGGGGTGAGAAATCTAACTTAGACCCGAAGAACTTCATCATCATTGACAAGCCAGGTGGAGTTTTTGGCAGAATTCCAGGTGAAATAAATGGGCAGCAGTTCTTGATACAGAACTGCAAGGTAATAGGAAATATTACTTAAACTACTGGTAGAACTCTTACATATATCTGCTGGATCACTCAGTAACAGTAACTGTCGATGATTGTATAAATTGCACTATTGTGACAGGGCCCATAAAAACTAGGTAAGGCTGCGCTTGCTTTGCAAGCTTCTCAGCTTTTTTGTTAGGGACTGTAGACAATGTACGATTGTAACTGCCTGTCAACAATTCCGGTCAAGGGACTGTCATGAAATGCTTGTATTTTTAGCATGCACAACAGAACCAATAATTGAGTCATGCACAAAGTTCACCTTTGGCCCGTATCAATGCAGCTACCCAGGTTTGGAAGGTACGAATTTATATTCACTTTTGTAACACAGTACCTTCTTTCGTAACACATAATCCAATTACCAATATTCTAGTCAGTTCATTCTATTGTGCATGGTATTTTTGTTTGCGGTATATCAATGAAACTATGAAGAATTATTTCGTGCTCACATTTAACCACTTATAGCGAATATGAATCTCTAGAAGAGTTTATTGCTTTATAATGTTTCTTCTTTACATTGAATCAGGTAACTTTCACTATCTTCTTAGTAACGCAAAACTATCGGCTTTAATATGATGGGTAGAAGCAAAGCAATCCCTTAAAAACATCAATACAGCGTTAGTATCACTTGAAAATTCAAGAGCAGGTCAATAGTTGATCTTTGGGTAAATATAAGCTATAAATAAAACTTATTACTCGAAAATTACACAGTTGAGGGTAAAGATCTGATATAATTTCCTTCAAAAAAGCAACACATTCCAAATACAGCATGTGATCTTCTTGTTATTATCAACCGATCCAACCCCAAGCACAATTACGAAATATACTACTGCTGGATATGAACAGTTAAGAACTAGTCATGTCGGTTGCCATTGCTTGCTAGTTATAGAACCGTTTAGCTATTTTAGTGGTGAGTTCAGAATGGCTGGTCATCTCACAGCACCCAGTGACTTTCATATTGTTTTCAGTATCCATATTAATCAGTATTGTCCGCCATCTTACACATTGACGTGTAATAAATTTATGTTGACATTTTTTACATTCTGTTGAACTAGAGTAACGGATTATCGTGAACAGCCGTCTTAATTCACAGTAACTTGACACAGAAATTCACAACCAGTGTGGATGATATACTAATAAATTTCGGCAATATGGTGTAGATAGTTTACTAAACTTTGACTTATTTAGCTTGATCAGACTGTTTTCAAAATATTGTATGTTAGTGATTGAAATCTGAGTTAAATTTATTACTGTAGATGTCTGACGAAGATGGTTAACTTTGAAGCTCCCATTTGTAACTTTCAAAGTAAATTATTACTGCTAAACTGCTCTACTATCCATATATTTATTTTCTACCGTTTATCATTTTAGGATCGAGTTTTGTATGCGAGGAATTGAACTTATATTGTAACTAGGAGTATAGATACTGGTTCGTGCTATGATTTCCGGTAGATAGATAAAGAGGATCAAAATTACACCTTATACTTGGCAATTCAGTTGAAAATTCTGTTTGTTAACGCGTATCCAGAAAGCTCTGAAACTATTAATTTTGTTTTAATTCGTATCACCTGAACATATTCTAAGTCATATTTTTATTTTCTATCTAAACTCAGACCATTTTAATTCGGCTGGCCTTAGTATATTTAACTGCAATTGGTCAGATATTTACGATTTCACAATGGATGAGAATACAGACAGCGTCCATGTCTCGCTTTTAGAAAAATGTAATGAGATAGAAAAACTAATCTCAACACCTAAGACAGCTTTAGAATGCGAATTGGAAAATAGCGAACTTAAAAATGGTAATTTACATTTTATTTTTATGTATTAAATATTATTTTTAGATATTTTTCTATGTAGTGTGCATATCTATCACCCCAAAGTCTTGTTTTATTGTTTGTCACTACCATCTAATGACTGATATTCTACACATTCTAAATGTATCAGTCGTATGTAGATTTGATCAGTTCTGTATCCGTTTTAAACGTATTGTACAGGATTGGAATAACCTACTCTCATCACCTTGAGACAGTCTATTAAAGTAAATATTTAAATTTACTGGTAACTAAATAACATTGTGAAAGGAAACAGAAGTAAATATTAAGTAATCTGTCATGCACTGAATCACTTTTTTGGGTTGATTTGCACACGGAATTGTTGATTAGCTGGCTACAGTCTTGACTGTATTAGAAGTTAATTTATACATTGTTCAGTGGCAAGGCAAAATAAATAATAATTAAATAAAATTATCGTTTTCTCGTTTCAACAGTAATTTTGACCATCTAATTATTTGTCCTTCTCATTTTATTCTGATCGTTCGTTTTACTATGTTTCCGCTCCGAATGCTTAGGTTTCTCTGTACTCCTGTAAACTGTAGCAAAATAAACAGGAAAATTCTGCTTTGATAATTTCGTTATCCTTTAATCATTCAATGTACAAGACTCACGTTGTCAGTCTAGACTTCATTTTCAGATTGCGTTCATGAAGAAACGAACACGGTGATTTATGGAGCAAGTAATTACTGATCTTTTAAACTACAGTCTTCGTTTCCACTCTGACGGTGGTGATTTTCACTAAAGACAGATTATATTCTATTTATCTTTAATAGTTTTAACATCGTTTGATTTTTGATTGAACGTGCAGCTGCACACTTTAGTCGTCTTCAAAGTAACTCATAGTCTTTGTTAAAATAAGGCAGCGTTGTGTTCTAAATGTATATTATCCTTGTTTAAAATAATGATAAAAACAAGTTCTTAAATCGTTTGAATAAATTGTGAGGTGGTTTACCTATGACATCAGCTAGAAGTAAATTTGATTAATTTTATGGGGTCAATTATTTTAGTAGACTTATACAACTCTCAGACTTCTTAGCCTAACCCATCCTAAGTTTGAAGTTAATTGGTGGATGGTGACTAGCAGTGGAATCCAGGATGAGCATTTTGTCTTATTTGGGACACCCCAAGTTTTTATTTCTAGGCTAAACTTAATACTACCCAACCAATAATGGGAGAATACTGTGTTTATTTAGATAAAGGAAATGCTGTGAAATTTGTGAAACAAACGCCAACCGCACAGCGCGATTACCGGTTTCCCACGGTATCTTCTTTCTTTGAACTTCAATCGTATATGTGAACAAATTGAACAAGAAAGATGAATAAAACGAAGCTTCTATGGTTCATAGAATTCCTTCAATACCCCTACAATACCAAAATATAGAATAATTTGAAGTTAGCTTTTAAAGAATCAAAATACCAGATATCAAACAGATACTGTCCAGATGTCCCACCTTGGTCGAAATCCTTCTCACTAATGAATATTACTGAACACTTTTTTGACATTTTACTTAGTTCACCTAGCAATTTAGTAATCAGCAAGATTTACTTTCTTCCAGCTGAATATGCTCTGAAGATATAAATTCCCTATAAAAATAACTTGAGCTCATATGTTCCATGACTTATAAAGAGTCACTATTGACTTTTAATCCCCTAGAGTTGATTTCTAATTTCTTGCATTGGCTTAAAGATATTGGTAATCATATATGTAGATGCCATGAAAGATTTTAGGGTATACCAACAGTTTAGAGTGTTGATTAGATAGATTCAAAGTAAAAGTAATTTCTCAAACCTTACCAATTTTCAGTAACTATTTACCTGTTGTCAGCAAACATTTTTAAGTACGAGAATTCGAATGAATGAAACTAGGTATTCTACGAGAGATTTATATATATCAGTACACATCATATTCACTAACATCATTGATACAAGCATGTTAGTGAAGATGAGTTAATGAATAATTCATGTATAATGATTCTATCTTATGAATTCTTAGGAAATAATTGGATTAAATCGGTTAGCTTTCGACTGTTTTCGTTTATCTGAGTAACTAAATATCTTCATTTGAATGGTTTAAATCAGCTAGCCACCTTATTAACAAGGACTAACAAATTCTAAATAATAAACCAAAACATTCTACTGACTCTTTTCAGTTGTGTGACATATTATTAAAGTATTTATAAATATTGCATAAATGTCATAGGAGTTCATCTTCTTACTGTTTCTTTTCATGTTAAACTTCGCTTGAAAATAGAATACTTCAGCCTGAAGATTGGTTTATGATTCACCGATAAATCTAGTCTCATAGATCCCTAATAAAGTTGTATAAAAATGGAATGTAAAGTATGTTATAAGGGGATAAATAAAAATAAATTGGTTTTAAAAAAAAAAAAGGAATAAAATAGCAGATTATAGCCTTGAAGATGATAAATAAGGGTCTCATCCATGCCATTCCTAGAAACCGTTAGTCATAGAATAGACAGTTTTTAGTTCCAAACGAATAATTCGCATGAATGAGGAAAACAGTTAGAAAATTCATTGATCTACACTGTGTTTTGTGAGGAATAGAAGACTCGATGGTGACACTAGGCAAAGATACCAAAATAATACTTAACAGGTGGTTATTTTAGATCCTGATTTCTAACTATTGCGAAACATATATGCCTTGTTGGGAAAGATAACTCCACATAGATTAATTGATTCAGTGCACAAAACTCAACTCAGTCTTATAAATAAAATTAATTTATTAAACTGATAAAATCTACTACTTTGAGCCCTTTTTTAAAATCCCTTTTGAATGAATTCGTTTGTATAAGCTTGCATACCTAATTATTTATGTAAGGTTAAAATTGTATTTTGTACAATTTTAATTCAATTAAATTCATTTTGCTATTCTTCCGTTTATTTTCATAATCAATTCATTTAGTTAATTCAAACAGAAGTTGCTGGATTTTTTCAAATAACTGTTTTAGTTACTATAGTAATGACAACAATAGAAAAAACATAAAGTCTTGCTTTTATCGCCTATTTTACTACTTTTGTTTATTTACTTGATTGGGAAGTGTATTTCAAACATTTTGTTTTTCTTCGCCTCACTTTTAAATCTCATCACCTTGACTACTTATTATTGTGAATTATAAGGGTAGAAAAACATGTATTCGATATATATATATAAGTAGCACTCGGCAGTATGGGTCTCTTTAGCAACGCTGATACACCTTCTACTGGGGAATTATACTCACGGTTGGCTGTGCGTAGGTAGCACAGCGGTTAGGACTCTCGCCGATCATGCACATGGTCCGGAGTTCAATCTTCTGCCGACGCACATCTGATATCTATGGTCAGTCTGCAAAATTTGGCCTAACGATATCCATGCTGAAAATTCCATACTTGTACCAAAAATACTGTGTGTGGAATCAAGCTGTAATCAAAACTTTAAAACTTTAGCATGTTTTATTTTGAATTTGCTTTCATTTGTCCCCTGGATCATCTTTCTGACCAATCTGCGAAATAGCCTATGAAATCCCACACCAGAAGCAAAAAAAATATCTGAGGCTCCCTTGGTGATTTGAGTTTTTAAAAATTCGAGCTGTTTGTGGATTCACTTAATAAACGATTGATATATATATATATATATATATATATATATATATATATATATATATATATATATATATATATATATATAATTAAAAACTGTCTGACAACAGTAAGTCCTTGAGTTCTAATCCAAAATGTAAAGTGAATTCTTAACTACATGTAAAAAGTTGCCAGAAAAAAGGGAAATTTTAACGATTTTGACTACTGTCACTACATTTAGAAATAGTTCTTAGCTTATTAGATGGTTGGAGGCAATCAGCAGGAAGGCTTGGACCTAGGTTTCGTTCCGATTGCCTCCAGCCATCTAATACCATCAAATCAATGTGCACCATAATGTTCAGCTACCTAGAATGGTGGCCATATTGCAAACCTGACTGATAAAATTCAGTCTGCACCAGGGAAAGGACTAGAAACGTCACACTAGTTACTAGTGTCCAATCAAAGTTCTTAGCTTAACTAAATTTCTATCAGTTATACAACTCGCTGGAATTTGGTTACTCTTTTCTGTCTTTGGAAAATAGTTATATTTCAAAAAAAAATAGTTTTCTTTCGTAAGTAATTCCTGAAGGCCACAGTGATAATACAGTTTTATTTATTCCGGTAGTAAAAAGAAGTATGATTTAGAAGAGTCATGACTTTTAAGTTTAACCAGAGTGTATTGAGCCCAAAGGACACACACTATGTGGTAATACGAATAAAGTCAAATCACTGGCTTTATGAAATTTTATTGAAAAAGTGTATTTTTTGTTTAGACATTAAAGTGTACCGCAAACATCTACTAAAATTAGAAATGAGTATTACTAAGGTGGTTATACTTAAAGTGTATAGAGTTATCAGACATCAAATACTTATATATATTGACGACGGATTTAATCAGAAAGAAATCCGTTTAGAACAAGTTGGACTTAAAGTGAAATAGAACTTATGTTTCCTTGAATAGGTGAATCCCAGTCAGTCAAAATTTCGCCACCGAACTATTTAGATCATGACTGATTTACGTCATTCAGAAGAAGTAGAATATAAGTATTTTTAAAAGGAGATCATACCCGCTAAGTACTTTCACAAAAATAACACCTTTGTATACATTGTAGTTTTCAAATCACCACTGTAATATTTCAATGTCATCGATGATAATTCAGAAGAATATACATTTCATCACTAAATACAATTTAAAATTCCAGCTGGAAGTAGAATCAAGTGTTTAATAAACTGATACACTAAAACAAAACATCAGTTACACACCCATTCATAATAATATGGAGAGGGCTGAAATTAAATAGTGGTATTTTCACCTGAAAAATAGTGAAATAAAACAAGAAGGTTCTGCACAAGAATTATTAACAACATATCTGTCTGTCTGTTTTCGACAT